GATTCCCGGGAATATATTTGTATGACCTACATTTGTTTCTCTCGTGAGGTTGGGTGTAATTTGTGGTTGTCTATATGTGTGTCCATGGCACCCGCGACACAGGGTTTCCCTAGTGCGGGGCAATATTGAGTGTGTGTGTTATTATTATTATTATTATTATGTTTCACTTGCTCTCATGCCCCTGGTCCGACCAGCTAAAGACCTGCTAAAGGCAATAGATAGGGCCAAAGAAATATTTATAACCAATGGTCGGAAAAAGGTGTTCCACATATATAGATATAGCTACGGTCTTAATAACGCTGTAACCATTGCATATAAAACAGGATTTCTACTAGTTTCTGACATTGACTCGACAAGAAGAAGAATGTATTTGCCAAGTTTTATTGAAATCGGTGAACGGAAAGTGGGTGTAATCCTATAAACCGGTTTCATCCCCTAATTTGCCGCCCTTAAAGGTTCTTTAAATTTAAATGGGTCTGGAATGGAATGCCTTATTTTCTCAAGCTCGTATCTTATACGATAAAGCGTATAATAATAAAAACAAAAAAGCGTGTAATAACCCCGTTATCTTATTCAGGAGATAGTAAAACCTTCTATTTATTTTAAATTTCTTATGAAGGATGTTAATTTGGCTGCATTACTTTAAGAATAGGCAAAAGCCAGTGTGTGAATGTGAAGGAAATATGATGTGAAATTAGCCTGCAAAATTTGTATATACAATGCATTTTTTGCATTTCAGTGACTTAGATAGATAGATAGATACATAGATAACACGTTTATTCAGCACAAATACAAACAGAAACAAGACATTTACAATCACTTCACAGAGTATAACATAAAAGCACTTAGAACATTCATTATTAATTTTATACACATTTATACAAAACACATATTGCGAGAAAAACTAACAAATACTATAACAACTGATAAAATTTTAATGTACTTATGACTACAGTTTGTGCTGAAATGGCCCTGACTCAGCATAAATACTACAGTATTTCAGAGTCAGTCAGAGTTTGGGAAAGTAGGCGCCGAAATGTCTGAGTCATCACGTAACATTTCGTCTGGTCCTCAGCTCGTCGCATCCACCTGCTGCTAACAGTCTTTCGCAAATCGTCACTGCATCTGGACATAGGGCGTTTACCGAGCCGTAATCTCCACTAAAGAAATCGCTTCCCCAATCGGTTGCCACTTCAGCTTGCTTATTCTACCAGCTATGTCGACACGATAACCTCGAACAAACAAATTGTATAAATATAATTATGTTAACTTTAGTAATATTTAATTATAATTATAGAATCCAAGCTTTAGTGTTGTTCGAGAGTTAGGTATTGGAAAGGGAATATAATTAATATTGGGAAAGTTTTTAATACAGTCAAGTAAGACTCTTCGAATTGGTACAAAATTGTAAATAAAATCGATGATAAAATAGTAAAGTCTAGTTATTACAGTTTGTGCCACTTATTTTATTTCATTTATTTATCAGAAAAACACAAACAGTATGTCAATAGCGGTCATTAACCCGACTTTCTTCCCGAAGTCACAATTCGACAAATACGGATCGCCTGTCTCTAAAAATAAATTTTAAAAATCAATTGCAATTTTGATATCGCTTGAGTAACACATTTTAGAACCATATTTTATAATTTGGCTTTATTTTTGTATGTTGCATTTAACAATAATAATCTAATAATAAATTATTTATTTCGACCAACTACTACAAGATGGGTCTACTACAAGATTAATATAAATAATTAAATAATATAAAAATAAATATAAATTAAAAAGTAAAAAAAAATTAAAATAACAAATACGTGTCCCAGTCAAAATTCAATTAACTAACTTAAAAATTGTAAAAAGATTTCGTTTTTTTTATGTATGATGATAACTCATTAAGGCATTTGGGAACCGATTTTGATGATTCTTTTTTTTTGTTTTGGAAAAGGGGTACCTCAGTTATTGGTCTCATTTAAACTTGACGAAAATATTCCACCTCTAAGGGTGGGAAACTAAGGGATGAATCCGGTTTCGCGCACTTTTCGACTCCAATAAAACTTGGTAAATAGATGTAAGTCCACGCACTTTTGAGATCGGTTTTTTAGTACTCTGTAGTGCGATAATTTTAAAACACAATTTTCGCTTTAGTTAATAGATTAACGATAATAATAACAATAATAACGCACACACTCGACATAGCCCCGCGCTAGGGAAATCCGCTGTATCGCGGGTGCCATGGACATACACATAGACAACCACAAAGTACACCCAAATTTATACGAGAAATAAATGTAGGCAATACAAATAGGCAAAAAAAAACGGGGGGAAATCCCCCGGCCCGGGAATCGGACCTGGGACCTCGGACACACACATCGGCCGAAACGTTGGCAATTTTGCGTTTGATATTATTCCTGCGCTCATTTGATGTTGTTAACTTGTTGGCATATACCAACGACTTATCGTACCGCATAAAAAGTAAGCCAGTGGCGTTAGATCGCATGAGCGAAGAGGCCATACCACCGGACCGTTTCGCGAGATTGTTCAACTTCTTCTTGAGTAGATCGATTATTTGACCAGCTGTGTGACCGCTGCAAACGTGCTGTTTATTTCACCTGCATTAAATTTCAGCTCGATATCTTTTTTTTAATTATTCCGCGTTTTATTGAAATATATATACGTTAAAGATTAACATACATACATACAATATAATAAAACACTATTTCTAACTAATCTACACGAATTGCACTTGTCGCAATTATTATGTAATTATTGAAAAACCCTCTACTTGAACTTTAGGGTTAAAACACAGAGCTGCGAATCGGCGCAGAAAACTGCGACGCGAATTGCTGCGACGCGATTTCGTGCAGCAAAACGTCTCACTCTTCAACGGTACTAAGCGTATTTTTTAAACTAGGCAGCGACAGGGATACTTCAAAGAGTGTTGCACTGCTGTTATTGATAAGCAAATGTAGAAAAAAAACACAAAGAAGACTAACAATTCGCAAATTCTTGCGATGCGTCGTGCGATCTCGTAGATTCCTGCGATGTGACGTCGCATAGCAGTTTTGTGTTTCGACCTTACGAAAGAATAATCATTTTCCAATATCATTTAATATGTGTTTTTTTCAAATTTCAGGAGGATTTCCATATTCAGAGTTAAGTAATCATCAAGTACCGCCGTACCTAGCGAGGGGAATGCGCTTGCCGAAGCCTGCACGCGCCTCCCCGCGCCTATACCAGCTTATGATTGACTGCTGGGCAGAGGACCCTCGAAATCGACCCAGTTTTGCACAGGTGTGATGATTGTACCTATTTAGCAGCAGTAGAACTTTACCTATTTCTGCCGCCAAGCGGTAATGTCAGCATTACTGCGACATTACAGGCATAGGTTCCCAAAGTTGTCCCTACCCAGTGGCCAGTGGACGCTGAAGTCCTATCAGGTCTACTGCTACTAAAAACCAGCTACAAAAAAAAACTACAAAATACTTGAAAGATCTATATAAACTACACTACAAATATATTTTTTTTCCTTCTGATTTTTTGTGTTAAGTTAATATAAAAAATACGTGTTTTCAATTATTTTTGTGGTCGTGGAAATCTTGCCTAAGTGGATGATGAGACAAAAAATTCGGGAACCTATGTCCTAGAGTGATGGGCACCATAGCGGTGCTCCTTAGATCTTTGCTGCTTAAAGCTCTGAGTGGCACTGCAACTGCTGTGGACAGACGTGTAGCTTACCACCAGGGGCACGACGTATTCGTCCCGTCACGTGATATCACAAAAAAAAAGTGTAGTATTTCATGTATTTTTTTTAAAGTTTCTATCACATAAGCTAAAAAACTGTCTCTAATTCCAGATCGTCGAACGGTTAACAGTACAGAAGCAGTTATACGTAGACCTCGACTGCGTATTCCCCCCAACAGAAGACGAGCATGAACTCCGCGAACTAACCTCATAAGGTGAAAGACAGCCCGAGAGCATCTATATCCTGCCTTATCCACACAGAGATGCAATTTAAGCCAACGTTTAACAAATTATTAGTAGAAACAATGGCTTAAATGGCAATACAACCGGAAGGACAGAATATGAATGCCACGGCGCTGTCTTTCGCCAAACGTGTTATCTTTGCTGGCTCCAGCCACAGCTGTAAAGACTGTATGTTTATTGTTGTTACCTTGTCTATTGCACAGTAAATGTCTGTGAATTACTTGTTGCAATTTTCTTTCAAACCCTTTATAGTGATAGTTTCAAATGATCTGAATTCTGCATCCTTATACATTATAAGACATTTATAATAAGAATAATGATAATATTATAATTATTTATTCAGAAAACACATTTTTTAAGGTCCAACAGTGTTAGTAACTTACAAATATAATTTAAAGACTAGGTTAGTGGTAATAATAATAAATAGTTGCACAAAAATTAAATTATAAGAAGAGGCAGCGACTCTCAGATCTCTCACCCGCATCCAGATCCAATAATCTCTATCAGGTATGACCTGTATAATAGTGTTGGTCCTGCCCCTCAGTATGCTGAGCAATAAGGCTGTTTTTTTGCGGATAATGGCATTGAAGCCATCAACCCGCGCTTCTGCAAACATGGTAGATGCAATGCAAAAGCGGGGCAACCCCATCAACATTTTAAACCCATTATTGTGTATATTTGTATTTATGTCGTAACGCACGATCTTACGCTGTTACGAGACGAACTGCAAGTCGATTTATTCAACTGCATGCAGTCGTAACTGACTGCAAGCGGTTATGCCGCGCGCCTGGCTTGAAACTCAGTATATTTCTTGGTGTCGATACAATGGAAGCAGAGATGTTATTTGTAGGTTGTCCCTGTAATCAGAACATTTAACGATTCAAAATGCTGACTTTATTTTTATTAAGGAAATTAATATATCACAATCGAAATCATCCATTTTAATTTTATAACAAACTTTACACTGTGCACTTTAAAGAGCAAAACAGCAATTTTGACTTTGATTGGTTATGTGATATTTTTGTGTGTCGGAAACAACGTGATTTTAATAAGGAACTGCGGAGGTATTTACCATTTTCAAAGTCAAAATTACTGATTTGTCAACTGGAGGTGAAATTTCGAATGTACGCAGTTGAAATTGATCACGACTGCACGCATTAATTGCGGACAGGCAGTCCATCTCTTACCGCTTTATTAACGTATGTCAATCTTTTTGTATATGAATGCAACTGATAGTTTCACACAAGCTAGAGATGAAAATGTGACGTGATTTGAAAATTGCCTTATTTTAGTCACGATAGTTAGGAGATGCAAGAATTTGTGAGAGCCGAAATTATAGTAAAGTTTTTTGATATACATTTGGAAGCCCAAAAGCCTCGGCCGATTTGTATAGGGCGGTGTTTTATTCGTTACGTTAGTAAAATACCTAAAGTAACTTTTTTAACCGACTCCAAAAAAAAGGGGGAGGAGGTTGTACGTTCGGCTGTATGTATGTTTTCCGATTTCTCCGTCAATTGTAGACCGATTTTGAAAATTATTTTTTGTTTGAAAGGGTGCACTCCCGTGGTGGTCACCAGGAAGTCAGAATCTGATGAGGGCATCCCATGGAAATCGAAAAAAACCGATATCCAAACTTTTGAGGTCGGTTTTTTCTTTTCAATCAAAAAGTCACAATTATTTATACATACGTATGGACAAGAAATGTATGTTTAAAACGTCGTTTTAAACGTAGCGTTATTAATAAAGGCTTGGAATCAATTTGGTGGGCCTGTAGGTTTTTTTTTAATTCTCACAGTCTCGGTTGGTATAGCCATGTGATAACAAGAGACTCGGACGCTGCACACCGTAATTACTCGGGTACACGGTAAATTTGCGGAAGCCAAAACGCGTTTTTAAATATCACTAGCCGAAATGGAGGACTTACATTACGGACGGTATTTTAATAGATAAAAGTTTTTAACATACCTGGTGTTTGTTAAAAGCTAATAATGTAAGGGACGGTATTTCTTTGCTTTGCTACCCAAACGGAATCATTTTGATTTATTACACGACTGTAGGGTGCTTTGCATTAATATTATTATCAAAACTTAAGAACTCGATATAAACAATTGTATTCAAAATGTTCTACGTTTTATTGTGAATGAAACACCGGTTTTTCACGTAATAATGTAAGAACATAAATAGCAAAAAATTAGTAAACAATTCCAAACATTCATTTCAGATTAAAATCCATACTTACCTACAGTACTAGTAAGCAAAATAACATAAATAATCTAGTATTAGTATTAACATTATTTAATTTAAAGGGACAATAAAGCCGGTAAACTGCATTTCTTTTTCAAATCATCGTTTTTGACACGGACATGTTTGACAGATTGATGTATCTGCATATTGTGTGCTTGTTAAAAACTTGACCCACGCACGCGACTCGCGGCATCATTTTCGCTTCAACAATACACACGAAGTAAGAAGTAGTAGAGCTCCTTGTGAAAGAGTTCGTCCAGGAAAGTACTGCCACCTTATCTATTTCTGCCGCCAAGGCGGTAATGTGAGCATTACTGCGTTCCGGTTTTCAAGGGTTAAGGGTGTTGGCAAAATTACGGGCACACGGGACTTGTCAACTTATGTCTCAGGGTAACGGGCACAATGACAGTATTCCTTATATCTTTAAAGCTCTGCGTTGCACTGCAACTATTACTGGTAGGCATGTCGGTGAGGGTAAGGTTGCGTTAGTCGTACCCCCTAAGAAAAAACCGCTGTAATATTTAAGGTTATTTAAATTAAACAAAACCTTTAGCGTCTACGGGATCTTTATTCATTTTACTATGAGTGTGCTTTAATGAAAATACCAAAAACGTTTATTGAGTCAGGTATTGACAAGAAAATAATCAAAGGGTGGGCGGCAAGTTCCAGTCGTTGGGGGAGATGGGTACCCACCACAATTGATCCCTATCATCATATGACATTTGCCTCCACTTCCTTGATCTATGTGATGACGGTGCGTCAGCCGAACGACTACGCAGTGATACGCCTTTACTGGACCCGGCGTCTCTGGTGGACCCGCACTTGGGTATGGACTCGCTGGGGTTTGTGATTAGCTGCAGAGACAGATATGTTTGTCTGCCCCAGTTGGGTGTGGCCGGGGCTTCTATTTCGTAAGCAGCTAGCGCGTCTTAGTAGCGATTTAGTTGAGGGCCAGAAGCGAGGAGACTCGTGAGGCACGTGAGTTGCTCTTTAAGTTGGAAGCTATATCCGGACATTGTCGCAGGCACTAGCCCGGAGAGCTAGTAGAGGATAAGCTAGATATCCTCTGGTCCCTCCAGCCACTTAAGTTATTGGGAACTGGAGAGACGTTGTTTTTCGGCGTCGGTAAGTGAGCGTGCCTTACAGCTCCGCCACCAATGAGGAGATTTGGAAGTGGCAATCGCTAGTTGTGCAATGCGCAACGAGAAGTGAGCGTGCCTACAGCTCCGGTACCTATCTGGAAAAGAGGGAGGGTACTGTACGTGCACCCGGGGCGGCTAACCCGAGGCACTAGCCTTTCAAAGAACCGAATGAAGCCAATTGACAGAGGTCTGTGACAACCCTGTACACTGGCTGATCTGGGGTCAGAACCTGAACTCATAAGGTTCTTGTGCGCGCACAGGTTATAGCGCCCCTCTCGTTTACCCTCAGGATCGATAGGGAGGGTCACTATAATCGAAACTAACGTAGAAAACTTTGGGGCTGGTCTGGGCTGGTGAGTTTCCGCTGATCGACTTTCTGGATACAGATATACGATTTTATTAGATATACGGCTGCGAACTCCTACCACAACTGCGATGACTACCACAACGACTAGATGGAGACGATATGAGTGCGTTAAATCCAGGTTTAGGTTCGATTTCTTCCGAGCTGATAGAGGAGCTAGAACGTGACAAGGAAGAGTCAGTATCACTTTCTATCTCCAGTTCTCAAAGTTCAAGATTCACCTAACTCCGATTTGTTAACGTTTCCGATGATTTGTGCAACCAAATCGCCCAAATAAAAGGATGTGGTAAAAGAAGCAAAAATGTAATTTGGCTTTAATCTTTTAAATAAGTGTTATGTGTTACAATTACATAGACGAACTAAGACCAGCGGTTTAAAATGCACCATACCTTAAAAAGAGATCTTATGAAATCAGTATATTGTCAGATGGTTACATTTTTCGTAACTTTAACCTTCTGTGATATGTAAGTAGCCTTTGTTTTTAAGAGTCTTTACTACCCCAAATGGCTTTGATTGATTCCATATACCAGCGAATGTGTTGAATCAATCACTTTTGAAATAATATATAATAAAATTGAGAATATACACTGATTACTATACGGTGTGAAAATACAATTGCTAAAAATTTTCACGTAAGAAAAAATATACAAGCTTACCTTGAAATTTTACAAAAAAAAAACCGCTGTATTCAATACGTCGTTTACATAGGTACCAATGATTTCTTTTTATATCAACTGAACTAAATAAAAGACGTATACTATACGATATACATTTTTCAAACGGCTTCAATTTCGTTGGTAAAAAAAATAAGTTCTGAAATAAAGCCAGCGGCAGCGTCCTTACCGCTTGACCTAAGCAAATTGAACTGTATTGTCACTAGCAAGATTGGAATTTGGGCTGAGGTAGATATCGACTCTAACCTAACATTCGAGAACGTCGACATGTTTGAAATCCAACTGAATTTCTTATTGTAAATCCTAACTAGTTTACGAATGCACCCAAATTAAACAATAAAGTAATTCAGAAATGCTGTAAACAAAATTGAAACTATCAATTACTTGTTTAAAGCTTAATATTTCTTGGGCATACCTCCTTGTAGATTGATTTGTTGTACTAATATGTTTAAGTACAAAGTAATGTTTTTTTATAACACAACGGTAGGCTTCTCAAGGTTTGACAGACAAGTTAATGTTTACTTGACTCCGTGCGAAGTATTACATAAACATATTATGTATATCGTTCATAATAATACTTAGGTATACTGATTAATTTAAAAAAAGGAAAATGTAACTTTTACAGCAACAATGGAACTTTAAAGTAAGTACTTAAAGAAATATAATTTTCGACTCAAGAGCCCAACACTGCTCGAAATAAATGGGGTATCAGAATCAACCAAAAAAAACGTACGGCTAAAGCCAAGAATGCACCTCGTGGACAACCCACTAACTGCAATGTGCGCGCGCGCCGGCTGCGGTGGCGATGCAAAAACTGAGCGCCGGCGTCTAGACAAACACTCTAATATCCACCTTATAACCATTGCATAAGGTTGTAAAGTATTGTTTCGTATGAAGATGTTTGCAATAAGGATCAAAATGCATTGTTTTATGCTTGCTCTAGCTTTCATTGGTAACTTTAGTGTTGTCTGGCTATCGGAATGAAAATATCGATAAATTTAAAAGACAAATTTCTTAAGTTTACATCGAGGAATGTCATGTAAACTATATATATGTTTGTATGAATAACTACTTAGGTATGTAGATTAACTAAAAACTGTGCTTTACCATGCAGAAAAAACTTTTTGAATAAATAACAACGGCTTACATAAAAATGTAAACCGTTACACGTTACGAACGGCTAAAGTCGAATTGACTTTGCTATGACCATTACAGAAAAAACCCCAATTGACAATGTCGTTTGATTTATTCAAGGCGCCAGGTAAAATAGTATTTTAATTTGTATATAAGAAACTATTAGTCCGCGTATATTTATTGTTATCGACGAGATAAGCAACACATGATCAACAATCTTAGTTCTAAAATTCTTCACTTTCCAGAAGTAAAATAATATAAAGACTTGTTAAATATATGCCTTACGGGTATCTTTTTCTGCCGCCAAACAGTAATGCTCACATTTCTGCGTACCGATTTTGAAGGGGGTAAGAGTGTGAAAGAGGGTGAAATTACAAGCTCATGGGACTTCTCAACTTATGTTGACAGGCACAGTGGCAGTGAACTGAAGATCTTTGCGATTTAAAGCTCTGAGTGGCACTGCACTACTACTACCGACAGGCGTTTCGTGTAAGAATAGAATAGAATAGAATAGAATTATTTATTTCCAACCATAGTCCATAGTAATGTTAGTAATACAGTAAATTTTTCTTACGTGGTATGGTGAGTACAATACAAAATTACTTAATTCTAGAGAAATGCCACGTCTAGACCACTACCCTACACACGTGTAGTTAACACGTTGGCAACAACGGCTAGGATGCTATTAGCGCTGCCGCGCACACGCATCATGAGTGAGACAGCCTTCTTGCGCATAATGGCATGAAAGCCATCTGCGTGCGCCTCCATGATGATGCACTACAGTGTCGTGGCATCCCCATTAGCATCCTAAAAGCGTTGTTATATTGCACCCTTAATGTATTCAGGGTTCTCTGCGTATACTCTATCACAGGCTGCTTGTGTAAAAGTTTTGGTAATATGCTTTAAATAATGAGATCTTTACATCTTTGATGCAATGAGCAAACCTGCGGGAGAGCATATTACATCTAACAGACAGGGCCCTTCTCTTCCTCTCCATGTCGGCACTATCATACAAGTTATCGGTTACCCAGTGACCCAGGCACTTAAATTGAGAGACACGACTTATCTCACTACCATAGAGAAACACCGGCGGCACAGTTCCAACAGAACCAGGCATATGACTTGTTCATCCCGTCACTAGGCATCATAAAAAAAAGTATGATGTATACACACATTAACATTGTTTACCTGTAGCTCCTGTAACAAACCACAATTAAGAAAATATTAAGTAGGTATTGTCTTATCGATATCGACTATCGACAAGTGTTATATGACAAGGGTACCAGCCGCACTAACATCGGTTCGCTGTCTCGCTCATGCTTTGCGGTTTGCCCTTCTCTTAAAATTCAGTCGAGCATTAACGTTCGCTAGGGGAGTATGTGTCGGTGTTTCCTTTGCAACTCGGAACGCGTGGTTAGTGCTTTCATTAAAAATAAATATTAAATCTTGTGTTTTAATAAACAAGTGAATAGTGATTGAACGTTGTATAAAACGTACAAATAGTGACTAACGTGATAAAGTTTTTTAACTATTAATAGACCTGATTATTTTTATAATGACTGATGATGCTTGGATCTAGGATTCAGTGATCGGTGACAGACGTAATTAACAATGGCAGTGATGAATTTTGGCGTGTGTTTGGTACTGGTGCTTTATCAGTTGTCAGCAGCATACAGTGATGAGGCATCATCTGAATCTGCGGATCTTGGTTTGACAGGTGAGATTTTGAAATATATTTTTGGAGAAATATATCCGGCTCGAAGGACCACGTTAACAAAAGTAATTATTTCTTAAAAAGGGTGCAATTAAAAGACTCATACTGTACCTACAAGTTTTAATGTGTTGAAAAAAAAAAATAGATGATACATAGTATATTTTAACTACACAATTTAATTTATAAAGATCATTGACAAAGTTGTTCGATGTATTATAACACCATCGATTAGTGCTAGATCTTCTAAACCTCGTAACAATTCTTTAAAAATTACTGGAAACTTTGGTTATCGACTTGCATTAACGACACCGCAGACCCGTTTGCTAATAATTAACCATTAAGATAAAGCGCTAAATAAAGTGTTAAGTTTAAAGTTTATCTCGGGTCGAGGATACCGAATCTTAAATCTTCCGAAACTTGCCTTTCTATCTTAAACTAATGTAATCGAGTTTAAAGTTCAGACTATTACATAAGACCAAGGCTATTAAGACCGGTGTGGTCTCTGTGTAACATATTCGTCCAAGGTAACACCTGTTAGTATAGATACAGGAGTAAAGAAATTCGCCTGGATGTATTGCTATACTTCTACAACAAACTTCTTTCCTTCAGAGTTGTTCTTTACTTAAGTGTTAACCGTCTGGTTAAATAGCATTACTTCGATTTCAGTATTTTAAAAAACTACGTACCGCCGCTTTACAGTGGTAACCCTAATTACGCATTTTTATATAGTTTGCTTTCACTGATTTTTGTTGAAACGAAACTTATAAACCTCATGCTTAATTATATTATTAACGAAATATAGCAACTGAAAGAGGTATAACGAGTAATTAAAGTACTAACTGCTAACATTATTAACTATATTTTACACCACAACTATTGTGTTTACTATATTTTGCACCACATTTTTTACTTCGCTTTAAAAAGTTACACAGAAATCACATACAAGATATTCACACTTTTAAGATGACCAATTATTTTGATTAGGGAATGAAACCTACAACCTTCAGCAAAGCCAAAGAGCTAAACTGCTAATCTTCTGTACTGCCGTATCAAACCAATACACTGTGATATTAAAAACGCCATTTTGAGAAACTGCTGCAAAAGGACTTTTTTTTGCTTTCTTTGTCATTTTGAGGTCAATAACATAACAAGATACATTAAAATTACTTTGTACATATAGCCATTACAACTTTGCAAAATAAGCCATTTCTATTGACAAACTAATCACTTTCTTTTGCCTTAATAACAACCGATAGACCCTTGTAGTAATGAACTTGCAAAGCACTGTACTGGGACTTGCAGAATATTAGATTGACACTATGGTGTGGTCGCTGTCAACTACGTAGTAGAAGAAGCCACCTAGACCTGGACCGGGATCATGTTGATGTACCTTATCTATAAAATAAATATATAAATAAAAGCAACAACATCGTTTTGCTGAAATAGGTAATTACTTACCCAGCAATAAAATAAAATTTCAAAATTTTGCGCTCCCAACAGCAAAATTCTATAAACAATACCGTGTTCATACCGTTTTCCAATCGATTTTGTGTTCGGCTTTATCACCGATTTCGATTAGCATGACATAACTGTTGCTACATAGATAAAAAGTCTGGCGTGGTGACCTTTTAGTGAACATTTCAAGACTTGTACACTATTCATGATGGCATTTACTAACGTTTGTTGAATATCAAAATCAGTACGCAACAGGAAAAGAGTTGGCCCAATGACAAAAGTACGCTGTAGAAAAATATAATGGAATAACATCTTTATCCTTGTAAAAATGAAGTTCTACACATAGGAACACGAAAGTGTTTGTAATAATTCCAAAATCATTATGAATTCTTTGATAATTTACAATCATCCTTCAATCGTGCCATTGGTTGTTGCTAAGCAGATTATTTGCGCCGCACTGTCCTTCACGTTGTTGTATTTCCTTGAATACAGTGTGGATGGATATTGCTGGGCCACTCCCATAGTTCGGAAGTTAACAGCTTTGGGGTTCCTAAAGGCAAAAGCGTACATAACAAGTATCTATATATAAAATGAAATAAGTTTTTCAAAAATTTCTTGTTAAAAGCGGTAGTTGTTGCGCCAATCTAAATAGATAAATCTGATACTGAATTGTACTAATAAAAAATAATACTTGGAACAAAAATTAAGAACTAGCATAGCTTGATTCATAAACTTGTGGTTGTACCTTGGTCCTAAAGTTAATTAAATTCACTCACGCGGGTAATTTTCTCAGATTTCAGAGCAATATAGCTGTAATAGTAAAACATGTTCCGATTTTAGAATGCCTCGTAAATCTTCAACCATCATCAAACCTTTTTGAATCTATTCTATTGAATACACCGACATTTACGCTTAAGTTACCTATATATGGTTTATGACGTCACCAATCGATATAACAAGAATCTGATAAGCTGCAGACCTGGCGCCAGTGTGTAACTGATACCATACTAGATTATGCAGATTGCCAAAGTGACGGCTTATTAATCGAAATAAGTAAAACCTACGGTTAACTCGGACGGAATGGTTTTCATTGCGATGACATATTCATTTAGTACGAGATGTTCCATGTTATGTAAATATTGTGTTTGTGTCTGAGGCATCTGAGGCTAAACTTGAAGTTGCCTTGTTGATCAATAAACAATAATATATAGCTATCCAAAGAAGAAACACTGTTAGCCTCCTGGACACGATAATCCAGAGCGTTGGCCTTCGATTACATAATCTTGACTAAAAGAGTTTTATCTCTCTCTTCCATATTAAGCATACTTAGTATATTATCCCCTTTGATAGCCTGTATAATATCAAATTCATAAGTGACATTAAAGATTGTTTGATATTTCGAAGGGCCAGACACCGGAACCTTCAAACTTATGAGTATTAATGATATGACGCAATCGTTTCACCACATTTCTCATATTTCATTGCGATAAAAACGTCGTTGTGGAATTTCACCCGATATCCTGTATTTCATTCTACGTATCACGTGTTACCGCGAGTATATCGGCACATTCGTTTCGTAGCATCGTCAATGAACTTCTTGCCCGGCTTTCACCATTGCGTGCAATGGTTACACTGCTCACGTTTTTTGAACGCATCGCAAAAGTGCTTTCGAATCGTTGAGTGAATCGTATAAAGAAAATGGCATTGCTTATAGAATCGAATTATTAGATAATTTAATTGATATTAATGTGCTGCCTTGCTACTGTCAGTGTAGCGTATTCTTCCATCTAGAAGTTCTTATTAGTGATACTTTGTTTCGGGAAATCTGTGAATTATGCAATATATCGTCGGGGATAGTGCAAAGGCGGGTATGTAGCATTGGTAAATGGCGTATGTCTTCACAAGATCAAATTTTACAGGAGATGGTTTAAACGTTATTACTTTGTTACTTCAATGGCTACGACATTCATTTTTGCATAGTATTAAGTCAGTATTTACGGACTGATAACAATAGACTCCAGTAAATTGATTGCCACGATGTTTACGCGGACTTGGTTTGGCCACTAACTTACCGAAATGGCAACTTCATAACGCATGTTATTTACGCGTAATTGCACTATTCCCAACGATATGCCAAGTCAATTTAAAATAATAATAATAATATTAACGCACACACTCATAGCCCCGCACTAGAGAAACCCTGTGTCGCGGGTGCCATGGACTCACACATAGAACACTAAAAATTACACCCAAACTCACGAGAGAAATAAATGTAGGCCATACAAATATTTGGCAGACCAGCACTGTAATCGTTCTGCCACCGAGGCAGTTAAAGTAGGTAAAGGAGTGAACGAAGGAGTCTCTCCGCACGACATAGAGTACATTCCTTTCCTGTACGTATAGCGGACCCTGGGCAACAATCAGCCAGAACCTTCCGTCGATTGGCAAACCCTTTCACCACGTTAGCAAGCATAGCGTATACCATCGATACGATAAAAAAAAGAATCCTACAATAGGCGACTTTCTATCCAATTCTAAAAGAAAACTAGGAGATGCAAACGCAATAAAAAGTAACCTATATAATAATTGTAACTTTTCCATTAAAAAAACCAATAACCTTAGAATAATACAAATTGAAGCAAATTGAAGCGCTCCCAAAGGGTCTACACGAGCGGGCGGGCCTTCAGTGCTCAAGGTCAACTTGCACCGCGAACAGCTCCAGAATTTTAGCTAAAAATGACGAAATGTGCGGTAAATGAGTGTAAAAATACGACAGATAAACATAAAATAGATTCTAACATCACATTCTACAAGGAAGTAAAGCGTTTCAACTTGTATTTTTATATAAATATTCACTAAAACCGAAAATTAACCTACTACTAAAACTAGCCTACATGAATTTGATTTTTGCCTCACTTGTGACAGTTCGTTTGATATGAAACTATCATTCTATGCGTTATTATTGTAAGCCAATAACTATATGATCCCCTCATCTGATTCTGACTTCTTGGTGACAATGTGACTGTTACGGACTCCTTTGTACATTTTATATACTTACATTTTATACTTTTTTTCTGGTTGTGATGGTGACGGTCGTTTAACCGACAAATTGTCGGTTAAACGTAATGTATCAAGCGAAAAGTCGACTTTTATTTGCGGAAAATAATTAGTAATTTGTGATTGCCGAAACGAACCCGGAACAGCATCGTCGGTACCAGGGCTCACCTCGAGAGTATACCCTTTCAAACAAAAAATGAAATTTTTAAAATCGGTTCACAATTGACGGAGCAATCGGTGAGTACACTGACATAAAATTTGAGCATTTTCCTCGATTTCCATAGGATCCCCTCATCAGGTTCTGACTTGATGACAATAGGATCACCACGAGAGTGCACCCTTTCAAACGAAAAAAAGAAATCGGAAAACATACATACAGCCGAACGTATAACCTCCTCCTTTTTTTTGAAGTTGGTTAAAAATTATGAATAAATTGACAACTGATTTTTTGCAACTGTAACTTCAATATTTATTACAAAGAAAAGTGAACA